GATCGATCTTTTTACTGGTGGTAGCACCTCTTGTGAGTCCGCGCGGGTAGGTACCACCACCCTGCCTATTTCTGCCGTGAAGCAGTAATGCGTTTCGGTTTGAAGGGTAAGGCAGCAGTTGTAACTATACTTGAGATCTTAGAACTTATATCTCAAGACGGGTAGCGCATTTACGTTGTAGATGTCTATGGGCTCCAGTAACCATGGGCTGTGAGCTCGTCCACCCATCTAAGCAATAAAAAAAAAAAGATATTTAATTTCGAAACGAACGATTAAATTTTATTAATTTCGTTGTGAAGTATTAATAGTTTGCACTTTTAAATCTGAAAATATATTTATCAAACTTGTTCTCAATTTACAATCCTCTACAATGCGACGCTGTGTCTTCAGCATCTTCTGCCGGGCTTACTACCCTCTGCCACCGAGTCCCACATATTACATATTTATACATATTTTACAGATTTAGTATTTTTTTAGTTATACATAGCTTACATTTATAGTTTCTTGTTTCCATACTTTAGATTTTCGATCTGTGACGTCACAAAGCTACTGACAAATAATTTGTTCACCCCGTGTAATTTCCCTACTGATTTGAAATTATTTAATTCATACAATCAATATGTCCGAAACAGAAGTGTAATCATACAGCAAATTCGGAGAGAAAGCGAGCATCAATGTTACCGTACATTACCGTACTACGATTAGACTCCACCCACTCTCGCTCTATCGACCTGCGCGGTCATCTTGTTCTGGCACCGTGGTGTTCTCTACACAGCTCGAAATTATTTTTATTACAAAATAAACTTTTTACATAAAAAACATAGATTTCGTTAGTAATTTTGTTTTGTAATAGCACCAAAGCTAGTCAAGGGATAGTTTAGTTTTATATTCCTAAGACACGGAAGTTGAATAGTTAAATGCGTCAATACGAAAATATGGCAGATCAGCAATACTCAACATTTTGAAAATTAAAAATAACCAGATACAAATTTTATTAAATATATTTCATTTATTTAACATCCGACTATTCTGAAAGATGTACTTATCTAAATGAATCAATTCCACTAAGCAGATGTTACATTAAAAGTTTTACTACATTACATACATCACTTTAATAAAATATCTTTTGCAAATCTACTCTCAAACTGCCAAAATTTGCAGAATTGTGAGTGATGCTTTGACAATATTTCAGCTATTAAAATTAAGTTATATCAAGACCCAGTAAGTATATCAGGATATTTTCTTCTAAAATCTCAAAAAGATCACTTTAACAGCAATATTAAATGTATTCGAAAAAGTAATTATTATAATTTAACTAAGAATGCTGAAAGTATTTGGCGTATACGAATATATTTTTTAATTTTTTAATGCCCTTGTACGCACACGAGCATACGGCCCAACTGATGATGAGCGGTTATCGCCGCCCATGGACTTCAACAATGCCAAGCTGCTGCCTACCGTTAAGTACTCTCCACAAGCTTCGTTTAACGAAGGACATGTCATAATGCTCGGGAAACACTGTGGAGGGGGGGGGAGCTCAATCCAAAGTCGGATGGTAGGTACGTGTCAAAAAAGATCTCTGGAAACGCAATGTGGGTGAACGCAGTGGCTCCAGGTAGTATAGATGAACTCTCTACTCCGGTGGCGGGCGGTGCGATGGTAAAAACGAGATGATGGAATCGCCTCAGACAATTCCTCAGAGCACTCCCCAAGGAACATGCAGTACTAAATTCAGAGAGAAGCGAGGTCCCTTCGCAGACCTAGAGGTTCCATGTTCTCTAATATAAATATTTTGGATCGGAGTACTCTTATAGGTAAACGAAAATATAAAAAAATCGGGCATAACTTCGATTTAAAATTTAAATAGGTAAAGTAGACTAATGAAAACATTAATTATTCTGATACTGAATGGATGAAAATATATAAAATTATGATGGAATGTCACAACTAATGAGAAATCAAATATGATCTTGCAAATAATATCATTGAATAATACGTACATATTTCGTAATAATCTCGTTTCTATTTCCTAAAAATATTACAGTTAATGGATGCTAATTATAAAATTTTAAATGTAGTTGGTGTAACATTTAAAATTTTATTAATTTGGAAATGTTAATTTTAATTTAATTAGCTACGTACCATTTATAAAATCGAGAACATTTTTTATTTGCGAAATGATTACATAACACATTACCAGAACATTTTCTTGATGAAAACTTGTGGTATAGAAAATGCATAACTTAATCATTGATTAATCAAGAAAAACATTAATGGGACATATTCACGAAAATTTTGCGCCTAATTAATTAATGTGTCGTTTTTAGTCAGCAACGTGACGTCACAATTTATATTCCCTAACTTATCGCTACCGGTTGGTCTCAAGCGGCAACAACGCTTACAAAAATGTTCGTTGTCCCGTCTCACTCACAACCACTCGCACGTTCCACCAAAGTTGCTTAAATGTACATGCGGTAGGTAGATATATTATAAAATGAGAGCTCTGACTCCGAGTTTCACACGGAAATCAAATACAGTGTGTCTGGCAGCGGGTTGCGGGCTGCGGCCATGTAAGAGCGTTAAATCTGGCAACATCGCACCAGACGCCGACCGATCACGTTGTTTGTGGCGTTATTTTAACATTTGCAGGCATAGAATAGATAAATTATTCGTATCGTAGAACTCTTTATTTATAAAACAAACTCAAAATCATATGATCCAAAAGAAAATTTATTCAAAATCATGTTCGGAGAAACTGAAATTACTGGGCTAGTACAAAATTGTAAAAAAATATGCTATATCCTTTTTATTAAAAGCTAAAGTGCTTTAGCTACAGAATTAAAAGTATTAACGTAAGAACGAATGTTTTTTGTTTACATCTACATACTTATTTATATCTCCCCGTATCTATTTGCGCATGAAACAAGCAGACGAGTAAAGATACTGAAATAAGTAGGTACTTATATACATGGCAGCCGAAAGGCCGGAGCGGCAACGTTGCGCTGTGTCAGTTACAGCTACACGCTACATAACTTATCGGTGCGGCAACAGCGTAAATGTTCCTTTTAGTTTCTCTCGCTCTTTTAAGTATTATCGACGTGTGCAAGTGCTTGGTGCTGGTATAATTTAACGGGTTGTAGGTTGTAGGTATTTAAACTTTTCAGAGTTAAGAAAGTTCTTATACGGCCTGCTTTTTTTTTATCCAACTACGTTTATACTTAATATTCGCTTTAGCTTAAGATGGCAGTTAAGCTCACGGCGTCCTTTGTGTTAAGAGGTTACAGAAGCCTATTAACACCATAACGTATATACGGTCAGGCGCTTTCATAAATTTATTGATGAAAAAAAAATTGCATGCATGCAATATGGGCTATCCTCAGATCGCGTTCTATACTTGCTTCGCAGCATAAATAGGTGGGGCGTAGCGCACCCCGCGTGCTGACTAATAAGTGGAGTACAAATGAATATTAGAGGGAAGGTAAAACAAGGTAGGAAAATAAGTTGAGATTACCACTACTACGGAAAAACTCATGGCGGGGAAGTAGTAGAAAAAGCTCCTTTGTAGCTTTTCCTACCCAAATGTCTAATTACTAGTTCTCTATTAACTAGGTACTATGGCTGATCGTGCTATAAGTAGGTACTCGTCCTTACTCGCGACATGTTTTATTTCTGCTGCAAAGCATTCTCATTCGTTTTCGTGTGAAAGATGATATGAAAAGTCTCAATAATATTTGAGACTACAATTTTTTTTAAGGCATTCATGTTGTAGTATCTCTCGACAGCAACCACTTAATATTAGCTCATCTTTGATAGTAGACTTTAAATAAATAGAAAACCTGCTTCACATTTTATCATTCACAGGTAGGGTTGCCAACTTTTTGAACAAACAAAATGTACAAATAGGAAAGGTATATTAAACATCATGTTGATAGGGTTTTAAATTGATACAAGAGCTTTCCCACTATTCTGTTCTTATTTGTCAGTTTTGAAAACTTTGTAAGTTTTACTGTATTTAAAATCAAATAAAAAATATACGAGCAACTCGTTCTTAATATTGTCAATGTTGCTCTATTTTCGTCATTCCACAATTAACTGTCATTCATTATAGAAACTCTATTTCTGTAAAAGTAAAGGTGAACAGACGAGAGACAGAAATTAGATAGATTTTGTGAAAATTCTAACAATATTTAAATAACCAAAAATGTACTTATAAACTTGATGAAACTTACAATATAATAATAGTATGGTTGGCAACGGTTACTAACAGTATGGTTGGCTGGCGACTCTAGATTGAAGTGCCACTTTCAAGTTTCTTATCTTATGCACTTTCATATTTTATGCATAATTAATTATATGTCATCCTAGTTAAACTACATATCCATTTCTAGGCACATCTGAGCTGATTGGAATTGTTTTTCTGTTCAAAACTGAACACGATCAAATAAAAATAAATAATCTGCTGATTTTATTGGCTTTTAGCTACTAGTCATAGAAAACTAAATTTTGAAATCTGTTTGTATTTCATTAAGACTTTATACACAACATATCCAATTGCCGAATTTAATGCGAAATTAGTTTTCATTTTTGAAATACTGATATCTTATATCTGAGGTGGGCTATTTGATTGTCCTAATGTTAGTAATATTCGTAATATACCTAGCTAAAATGCCGGTTAAGGAGTAAAAAAAGTAAAACATACTTTATCCTAACAATAAAGTGTAGCGATTGAAGTTATTGTTAAGATCAAATAAAATCATAATGTTGTTCGATTGCTCAGAAAATCGTTCCCTCTTGCTTTGCTTGATGTTTAAGAAATATGTTGCCTTGAGTGCATATTATGTGTTGTAACTCTATTTTGATTCTTATCCTTGTATGTACGTTTAAAATAGTTACGCGCCTTTGCATGTTGATGTTTGATATTTGTGGCGTGCATGAATATACATGCTATTGTGTACTCCTCCCCCTATTGTTATTATTAGATGGTAAATTATTTTTTACAGTTATGGCCGAGTCCAGAATGTCAAATTGTTGGGTCGAACAGAAAGCGTACCCACAGGCGCAAGCGTCAGTGGAAACAGTGGAGTTTGTGCCACTGTTGCGTTCATGGATATCAAGTCTGCATCAAAAGCTCACAATATTGAGCATGTGCTTGACGAACGCACACTTACCACGGAGTACTACGAACCTGCTGCAATCCCGTCGTCTGCGGGTGCGCCTTCGGCTGGTTCCTCGCCAGCCGGTTCCGGTTATTCAGGCTCTTCGTCCTCCGTGAATTCCATCCCTGTTCCAGCTTCTGTATCACGTTACCATATTACGTAAGTAAATTAAATACATTATGTAAACTTCGTTTGTTTGTTGTCTATACTTGATGTTTAGATTACCCAGAAAACAGCCCATGCATAGCCTAGTGAAAAGAAATGAGAATGATTTATGGCCTTGTTAAAAATAAAATTTCAAAATTTGTCTCAATATTCTTTTCATAAGAAAATGTTAGCTGCTTTGCTGATAATTCGCTTATATAATATTTAATGCACCACAATGTTTTTCATCTCCATTAATAGTTTGTGTTACAGTTAACTAAACCAAACATTGTAACATTCACTGCTTTTTCCGTCTAATAAGCATGTTTTTGTGCACCCTGTGTACATCTTGCCGCCGCCACCGTGATAATGATGTGTGTCTACGATCACTACTGTTTGCAGCTGGATTGCAGTGTATGACTTGGATTGCAGTGCAGGATTTATTAAGTGACAGTGAATTTAGAGAAGTCATTGTGTTTTTTTATTGTGAAAGTGTTGTGGACCAAGTGCAAGTTAAAATGTTATCTCTTAAATATCGAGCCTTGAAGAACCTCTACTGCACATCATCATGGTAGGCGGCGGCTATAAACTATAACCGCTATCCTTTGACATAACAAGAGATGTTTTTGTCTATGTAAATACATCAAGAGCATCCTTGCATAAAATTGCAATGCAAGAAATTCGCACGACTAATAGATTTTTTAATATATAAAAAATAATTACTTGAAATATTTTATAGGAACTAAGAGTAATCTTAAGTACAACACAGATTTTTCAATGACAACTCTTTAACATTCAGGCTATTCAAAAATCAAGCATTCGTCGCGCATGTTTTATAATTTCTAGACTAATACAAGTAATGTTTGGTCCGCATAGCACATTACGGTGTTCAGTTATGTTGCACTAGCAGAAAGTTCGGCCACTTTTCATCTTATAATTAGATGAGTTGTGAAACAGCTTTCATTTAATTGATTAAATTGACAAAATATAAGCTTTTCAAACGAAACTTTTCGTAATCATCTTTTAGTACTATTTACCAAGTAAGACAAGTTTATCAAATTTCTTTACTTTTAAAGTTATCAATGGCTAAAATAGATTCATTTTTATTGCGTAGATGGGTGAGACCGAGTTCACGGCCCACTTGGTAAAAACAGTCTACACTGACTACATACAGGAGTTCATAACACGAATACCGCCAACCACCACCTTGACACAGGTCGAAGTCCCAGTTGTATTGTGTAACGACTGTACTACACTTTAAAATGTAACGTATGACTGTTTCGCAGTTAAACAGACAGGATGGTGGTACATACCCCTCGTGCTTACAATACGTCCTACCATCGTCAGTCTGCTTGTATAATACTCTGAGTAAGTTGCCATTCGTTAGCCCTAAACACGTCATTTCGGATCCTCCCCCTCTAATGGTGCTTTTAGGAACCTGAAGCACCGGTCACCGTTCTCGCCGAACCCGTCGCTCGCGACGAAGGGTTCGGCGAGTAATCCATAGACACAGCCCACTGAGTTTCTCGCCGGAACTTCTCAGTGGGTCGCGTTTCCGATTCTGATATAGCCTTTTAAGGCTATCAGCATAGATAGGAAAAAAATCGGTAAATCCTTTTGGCGCCTTTTACGACACCCACGGAAAATATGGGGTGATATGTTTTATTTAGGACGACACCATATAAGCAGAGCTTGTTTAATTTCAAGAGCCAATATATTTAAGACCGCCACAGTAGTCAGGGACCCCTTAAAATAGGTAAGCTTTCGAATAAATGAAATCATGGTCGAGGTTGGTTAGCTGTCGACGCCGATAATTGACGGTATTTCAACGCTTTTGACATCTTGTTATTACGTATGATTTTTGATTGACAACTATAGGTTGGAACATTTTAGAAAATAATACACGATATTTGACCGCTTATAGAAGACGAAGAGTTGGGTCCTGTTTGGACAATCTGAATGTATAAAAAACGTTTTTTTGTTTATGTGAGCTGTGTGGATAGAGCTGGCGGACGTAGTGTGTGAAATAAATGCGGGGTGGCGGGAGATGTTAGCTGTGTGAGCACTATGCTATGAACGAGCCTGCGGAAATCAAGGGATCCTCCCGCGTTTTAAATAATGTGAACCAAATGGACTAGTTGTTGGTACGTGGGACAGTACAAAATCGGGAAAGCGATCCGATTTCAAGAACCGAATGAATTGTTTTACGAAATAATAATATTGTTGCTATAGTTGCTTTTTAGTTATTAAGGCTCTAAGTAAATCACTGTGAATAAAGTTTTTTCGTTCGATAGGCTTAGATCTTCCAATAATGGTTTTATAAAGCTTTAATAACTCTACCGAGAAATTAGGAACAATACAAATCTGATATTTCAAACAATTAAAAATAAATTCATTTAGTTAGAAATGTAGCATTTAGCTAGAAAATATTATAAATATGTTTTTATAAAGTGACAGATACGTCCTATTTAATCAAACTAACCGTTATTTATACATAAACATAACCTTGCGACCGTTTGGGCAGTCACGTCAATCAGTAAACAACTAGTGTTCAATTCTGTTGGTTATACAATATTTCGTAGGTAATAAAATATAAAACTTATTAACTTACATGAGAATTTTAATGGTAAACAAAGTCGAAATGGAATTGTTATATTATAAAATTTAGTTTAAAAAGTGATATTTATTTGTTTCAAACCGTATCACGGGGTATCTAATGTTATTTGAAGCATGTGCCAGGAGACTGGGCAACCCACAGCTTTGCCGTGCAGACTCTTCTGATGAAGGTAGGTTTTTATTTATTCGTCATTCAAAGATCTGAAAGGTGCACCAATCTGAAAAATAGCGTTAACTTATACGCTGTCTCTCTGGCCGAGACGGAACATCGGACTCGTTTCTTTGTTCAATCATCATTAGTGGGACCATCGCCTCGTTTAAGAGAAAAATCCGACGGTCAGGCCACTGCTCTGTTGCAATAGATCGCCGTTTCGTTTGTCGTATGATGGTGTGTTACATTGCACGAACGCACTCTGTAGTTTTTATATTGTAAACTCGCCACTCTTTGACAATATATTTTCTGTAGAAAATAATATTTTTTTTAAATCGAGTTGACTGTCTAAGGGGCTGCTCTCCAGCTACGCTCGGACGGGTAGATAAGCTCACGGGCTCATCGTGAGAGAATTGCTAACACAAGCCCTAGCAAGAGCAGTGATTCGTTGAATTTACCACTGGATCGAAATCGCGACACACTGGAAGAAACGACGAGAAACTAAGCGGGCTCTGTCTATAGGCTAGGTTTAACGTCGGAACTCTCGCAAATAAGGGTGACCGGTGCTTGAAGAGCCTACAAAGCACCGAGAGTAGATCGGGAGGTTCCGACAAGACATATGTTGGACGATGGTGGCTTTGCGTTACCCCGACTTCTGGGTGATTATGTATAGAGTTATGGTATCGTCCCGCTTTTTCAAAGAAGCGTTATGACGCTGTCTTCAGATATTTACGCATCGATTCTTGTTGGAGATCGTCGTGAAGATTTACAATCCATACATACCACGGTGTTCCAATGGCTATCCTGCAGATACGGGATTGGCTGGCTGAGTTGGATAGAGTTTATTGGGGTGCAAGCTGCGTAAGTGAACACTACACTCGCATAGGTCATTACGGAACGTAAGTAAATGTTGTAGAGTCACCTTAATAGGCACAATTTACATCGCTTCGTCGTTTCAACGTGGATATTATCGCACCCAAGTAAATTCAATAGGCAATCACTGCCTTGGACGATCTAGGTAGCTGAGGCCAGTCCAATTCAGCACTAAAATATAAGGTCTGTGTCTCAATCTTTTTGTCTAACCCTGGCCATTAGACGTATCTTCTGGCTGAACATTTAGTTTTTACTTCGCCTAAATGTTTCATTCAGCAGTTTGATTTTGTATAATCTATAGTACACGTATACTGGTCCACAAAGAGACAATTAGCATTTTTTTTGCTTTTCGCCGATTGAAGCCATGCTAGAATTTTATCTACTGTTGATGACGGAAAACTGCGATAATATAACGCGCACTCGATTATAACGTCACAATAAACGGCTTACTAATGCGCGAACACTTCTGCATTGTGAGCTGGTGTTTCACCCCTCTTGAACGCAGCTGCTATCCCAATGTCAACGCAAAGCTTTTTAGTCAATAGTGTAATTTCTAATAATAAACCAGTAATTTTCATAAATTAACATAATTACTGGTGATAAAGGTCGTTCGAAGAGCAACACAGACTTCTTTTTTGTACAAGGACTAAGTAAGCTGTTTCCTACTAAAGACAAATTTAAAATTTTTCGTAACTGCTGGTGGTAGGAGAGCGTAATGTAACCGCTCGGGTAAAAATGTATCCTATCAACTTTTGCCACCAAGTAGTCGTACGTTTCGGTTCGAATGGTGGAACTTCGATATGTATCAAGGAGAGTGACGACATTTGCATTTTGATGTGTATAGGCTCCGGTGACCACTTAACACCAGTTGGTCCGTGTGCTGGTTCATCCATTTATACAATAAAAAATATCAGTGACTATGAAGTCCTTGTTTTTTAGTAACTTTGTCAGTAGACCACTTTGTTATTAATATGAACATGAATTGGTTGACAATATTCGGACAATTATTCGGTTGGCGACAATAGAAATTTTTCAACAGGTAAATTTCAGTCAGCGTAATTTTGAAATCACAAATACGTAACTTACTGTTAGCTTTACGTATTTATCCATTATCATTTGCTAGCAAATTTTTAACTACTTATCAACGTAATAGGGGTTAAAGTATGAAATTGCCGTTTTATTGTAAAAGGTACTTCGAATTGACATAGAACATTCATGACTTGAGATTTTTGGTGAAACTTTTTTCAAATCTACCTATGAGTTTTTTTCCTTTAAAAAATATGCAACATTCGACTATCGACTTTCAGTTGTTTTTAATACGATTTTATTAGCTTCTGACCTATGTATGTTAGTATGTAACGGCATCTTTGAACAT